ATTTATTCTTATTTATGAATGCCAGGCCTTAACTTGTTTTATTTCTATCCAGCTTTTCTTAACTTAAATTATCCTGTCTATGTTTTGCCTCTTGAAGTTTACTTATCTCTATTCTATATACATTTCTTTACTTCTTATTTTATGTCTGGTTGTGTAGCTGGGTGGCTGGACCCTGGTAACCGCTTCTCCTTTTCTCACTCCTCCCCCTCTCTCTTTTTTTTCTCTTTATTCTCCCTGCCTGCCAGCTCCACCTTTTTCTCTCTCCTGCCTAGCTATTGGCCATCCAGCTCTTTATTAGACCAATCTGGTTTTTTAGACAGGCAAAGTAACACAGATTTACAGAGTTAAACAAATGCAACACAAAAGAAAGTAACAGATCTTTGCATCATTAAACAAATGTTCCACAGCATAAACACATGTAACACATGTGTATCTTAAACTAATTAGTATCACATTAGTATCTTAAACACATTAGTATCTTAAACCAATATCCCATGGCAGTTAGGTGTCTCCTTTTTATTTCTGTTTTTTTTTTTGTTTTTTTTTGTAATTCACTTACACATAATAGTTGACCGTTTGTTTTAAAGGATTTACCATTTTATCAGGATAAAATTATTCAATGTTAAAATATTCTTTTGACTAAGATTGCCCTCCAAACAAAAATTATTTACCAACAATATATGGCCCTAAGTTCCCAAAGGCAAAAATATGGTCTTTGGTATGTTTATCATGAAAAGAAATCCAGTCTAGAGTACAAATATTTGACACACAGCATACTTACTGCTTCATTATATATGTGTGTACATGTGTTTATGATATCAGCGATATGTAGATAGATATTCTATGACATATGTACATACAGTGATCTACTCACTGTTAAAATATTGCTTAAAGTTTTAAAAGATGAAATTAAATATGTATACAATGATGAAAACTTAAAATTAATATTGAATCATAGCTACTTAATGACTCTAACTCTAGAAATAGCACAGCTACAATGAGAACAAATGAAAGGCACTCCCCTAGTCACATGTCACCAACTAAGCCCATTTTCGAATGTTAAGAGTTTCTCTGAAATCAAACTTTCTCCAAGTTTAGTTATGGACCAATACATTTTATGGAAAAATAAGAAAATTAATCATATAAAGAATAGCGCTGCTAGGTGTAGTGGCACACACCCAGAATCCTACCAGCCAGGATGCTGAGAGAGAAGGATCATGATGAGTTCAAGACAACTTTTGCTGCACAATAAATTCTAGGCTACGCTGGGCTCTAGCATTGATAAATTGTCTCAAAATAAACTAAATACCCCAGTGACCTAGGTTAAAATCAAATACTACCATTTTTTCAGTAGTAATAAAATGCCTCCTAATGATATTCTGCTATACTCATATCTCAGTGCCTTGCTCAGCCATCATCAGAGAAGCTTCCTCCTGCAGCTGAGAGGAACAAATATAGAGATCAACAACCAGACATTGTAGAGAGTAAGAGATCTTGGAACACTCAGCCCTAAATAGGATGTCACCAACAAATCCCTTCTCTCAGGGCTCAGGGAAACCTGTGGAATAGAAGGCAGAAAGAGTCTAAGAGCCATAGGTGATGGAGGACCTCCAAAGAAAGAAGGCCCTCTAAATCAACCTGATCCAAGTGTGTATGAACTCACAGTGACTGAGGCAGCACCAGCACTTTGCACATGCATTGTGGCTCCCAGTTCAATGTTTTTTGTTTGTTTGTTTGTTTGTTTTTAATTTATTTATTAGTTCCAGTTAGGGAACAAGCTTGTTTCACATGTAAGTCCCTTCTCCCTCTCCCTCGAGTGTAACCCTTCATGTGGGATGGGCTCCCAAAGTCCCCTCCTGCACCAGGGAAAAACACTAGTTCAGTGTTTTAATGGGAATGTGCAAACTAGTGGGTCTCTGGTTCTTGTGCCTTCTCTTAAACTCTTTCCCTCTGTTTGTTTTGTCCAATTCTGACATGGTAGTTTTTATGTTTATTATAATATTATATTTTAATTTGTTGTCATCCTTCAGAAGCCTGTTTTCTCATTGGAGACAAGAGGGGAATGGGTTGGATGGGATGGAGGTGGAAGGAATTGGGGGGAATAGAGGGGAGGGAAACTGTAATCTGGTTATATTAGGTAAGAAAAAATCTATTTTCAATAACAAGTAGGAAAAAAGAAAAGCTAACATTTTATGCTCTTATTTGAGTGAAAAATTAGGTTTTTGTTCCCTGTCTCCAGCTTCAGTAGAATATAACAGAAATTATTGGAATGTGTAATATAAAAGTAAATACAATATAATAATATGTTCGTTATCTAAAACAAACGTGAACAAAGGGAAAATGTCTGAAATCATATTTGAAGTTTTTCTCAAACAGGGAGTATAGTTATCATTTACTTTATTATTGGTAACATTTTTGAAAAATTTTAGACTGCTGCCTATTCCTTCAGTATAAATTAATAAATTTATTACATTAAACTTCATATTTTGGGATGAGAGTCTTGATTTTCTGGGCCTGTGTCTCAAAACTTCCTTTTTTTCTCCTTTTGGGTATCAACATGACTGTGCTGAGCACAGCATAGTAGTGACCCAGACTCCCAGATATTATCACCAGAGATCTAAGATAACAGCTGCCTGTCCTCTCTTGTTCTATTCTTCTTTATAGTTTTCTGAAAAGTAATTATAAGTGGAAGCAGTTAAGTAACTTTGAAATTTAAATCAAGTTTTCTGCTGTGTTTCAGGAACTGACTATGCATAATTTATTATTTGATGCTCAAAATGCATGTCCTTTAGAGATTAAGATTATGAAAAGACTGTGGGTATGATTTGGTGTTACACAGCTTGTCTAGAATGTAAGAGACCCTAGATCCAATCCCCAGTACTTCCAAAAGGAAATTGTACAAGTGGCACAGGGGAGAACACACAAAAAGTGAAATGTTTGATAGACAAGTGTGAGAACTGAAAGTTCAGCTCCCCAGTGCTCACACAAATCCAGGGCTGGCATAAAAGCCTATCTGGAATCCTGTGCTTAAAATAGATTCCCCAGAGCAAACTGGATAGGTTGAAGAAACAAACGAAGAGTTCTCTCTTCAAGGGAGAAACCCTTACTCAATATATAACATTGGAGAAAGTTCAAGGAAGACATCTGGCATCAGCCTCTGGACTTCACACATGAATACAGACAGACAGACAGACAGACAGACAGACAGACACACACACACACACACACACACACACCCATACACAAAAAAATTATAGAGGTATAGAATTATGATTTAATATGATACTTTAAAAGTCCCTATTAAGAGCCTATGTAGTCCTAAAGTTTTTTTTTAATCACTCTCTTCAAAGCATGGTGATTTGAAAATAAGTTATAATATAGATTTTTGAATAGGAAGGAGAATGATCATCTCCCTCCTATTGGGTCCATCACATTTACTAGGTGTAACATTAGATTAAGCTTCTAACTCTATCACAAACCCACCAATAAAATGCAGGTGATACTAACTTTCAATGTTATTGTATGGTTCTTGTCACCACTGAGCAATGCCTGGTATATTCATTACTCTTAACACTGTGACCAAATACCTGACAGAAAAGAAAAAAAAAAAAAACACTTAAGGAAAGAAAGATTCATTTTAGCTCACTGTTGCAGAGGGTTTGGCCCATGGTTACTTGGCTCCATGCACTCAGACAGAAAATTATAACAGATGGATGGGGCAAACAGAAAGCAAGTAGGCACCAGAAACAAAGTATCACCAAGTACCTGGCTCAAGTGAACCATTTCCTCCAGGGAGGTACTACCTATGAAAGTTATCAGAACTACACGAGACCATGAAGTTCTAATTATTACATGACAGTCCAGACAGACTTTTATTGAGTTTCTTTTGTGTTTCTCATCCAGTCTATCTCAGTGGTTGCCAAATGTCATGTGTGACATTGTGTTATTGGCAAAGTGTTATTGTGTCTGGCCGCATTCAGTCAGTTTCAAGGGAATTCTACTATGTGTGAATTCATTATGACTTTTCTCTATAACATTTTATATTTTAAGCATATGATAGATGATTCTTCATTATATAGAGTAAATCTAAAGACAGTCCTAGGTACACAGGAGATACTGAATAGATTGGCTTTAAGTAGTTGATCTTCCTGCTTTATGGCAAAGTGAGTTTTTTTCTCCATTTTTCTTTATTTGAATTAGAAACAAGATTGTTTTACAGGTCAATCCCAGTTCCCACTCCCTCCCTTCCTCCCCTACCACTCCCACCAACTAAAACCCTACCTATCACATAAGCTTTCTGCTCCCCAGGGAGGGTGAGGCCTTCCATGGGGGTCTTAAGGGTCTGTCATATCCTTTGGGGTAGGGCCTAGGCCCACCCCCTTGTGTCTTGGCTCAGGGAGTATCCTTCTATGTGGAATGGGCTCCCAAAGTCCATACTTATGCTAGGGATAAGTACTGACCACTACAGGAGTTTTTTTTTTCACTTTCTTAAATGGGTTAATTTTCCTATAATTCTTACTTTGCCTATGATGATTAGTTGCTTTCTTTTCAATGGAGATGCCTCTTTTGCTTGCCTTTTAGAGGTTTCATCAAAATTAATAAAAACTAATGCTAGTTAACTAACAGTGTAAGCATTCCCTCATTGGCAGATTTGTTGTTATTCTTATTTCAGTTTGATAAGAAATTGACTCACAATTAGCATAGTCTAGATATTAATCCACCCAATTGGCTCAATATCATTTTTTCCAGACATAGTTGTTAAATGTGATTGGGTATTGGGTGTAGAGATTGGCCAGATAGAAGAAGTCCCTGACCTCATAATTTTTATCACCCAATCAGAGGAAATTCTGCTGTCTAATGTATATTTTAGCAATGTGTCTAAATTGTTTAAACTTACTTTTATTAAAACAGCTTTACATTCTTTTACTATTAATGACTGGTTGCCATTATTTTGACTTTGCAGAGTATTTAACTTGATTACTCTGGTTTTCCTCTGACAGTTCATTCAAGCATTTGATTGGAGGATTGGATGACGTTTCTAACAAAGCATATGAAGATGCAGAAGCAAAAGCAAAGTAAGTGAGATTTGCTTTGGGGACTTCATCTTGATAAAAATAATTTTAATAGGATAAGGTCAAATATTTGGACTTCCTGTCAGTGCTCTGGCAGTATAACTCTGATTACTATAAAGCAAATAATGTAGTTGTTACATGATATGCTTACTTAATATTGCTATTTTCAATATGAAATCTTAATTTGTAAAAATCAACTCAAGAAGGTAAGTGGTAGCTTAAAAATACAATATAAACAGTTATAATAAAACATGTAATAGTCAGACTGAAAATACTTTCTGATGATATTAGATGCTAAATATCTCATTAATTATAGTTTTTCATAACTGCAATTCTTCTACAAGGCTGATTTGCTATAAAACAAAGTCTTAATTTTGACAAAGATTTGATAAATTCAAATTTTTTTATTATTGAAAAGAAATATATGTTACTTTGAAAACAGTAGTGGTCTTCATAATCCTCCTCCTTTTCACCAAATATAAACTGACAATTCATATACAATAGAAAACAGAAGGAATAAACATAAAATTTAGTGTTAAGCCCATGGTTCACATCAAAATTAATCACTAATTTTGTAGTAACCTCAAGCACAAAAGAAAGAAAATATTTTGCTCTAAGAATTTGTGAAAATATCATTTTGCCTAGGAGTAAAATATTAAGAACTGCATTCATATTAACTTCTGAAATACATGCAGGTGTGTAAATAAGATGACCAATGTCCATCTTAAAAATGTAAGCAGCTACTTTAGACTTACAGAAAAAGTCAATTGTCTTATAGAACAGAGTCTAGCTGCTCTGCTATATATCTGTTTTCTTACAGCTTTTGGTAGATAGCTTTCCTATAACTCCTATTATTCAAGTAAAAATTGGTACCAATCTTAGCCCTAAAATTACCAGTGATGGGAAAGTGATTGTGAATGAGACCCTTCTCAAAATCTATTGGCTTTGCAGAGATAACTGACAGTGTATGAATTCTGGCCATTCACAGAGTCACTTACACCTGCTGCACTTCAAGGGAATAAAAAACTGAGTGTACTTAACCCAGATTTAAACAGCTAGAAGGAAGATTTGACCATAGTTTGTCACACTGTCATATGAACCTGGACAAAAGCTAAAAGTCTTTGTTCCTCTGCTACTCTTGGTCACGACTCCCAACACCTGCCTCTCATGGTCAGACAGCGCATCTTTAAAGTGGCAGCTACTGTTGCATTTTAATTGATGGCATTATGCAAAGCCTTTGTAAATTGCTGAAAAGTGGATGACCTTGTTGAAGTAATTTTTGGAAACACACTTTGATATATGACTATGATAACAGATATTAATTATTCCACACACATAAAATATTTTGCATGACTAAGAAGTATTTAATCTTATATAGCTTCTCATATTTATAATAACTTATTAAATCATACTTAGCCTAGAAAATATCTATAGATATAGTTTTATGAAACAGTAACAGTTTAGCCAAACAGGGTTAAAGAATAAGAAGTAACAAAATAACTGTCTACATCAAAATACTTCCCAATGTTTGTTTGACCGGTGGGTTTGCTAGACTATAATTTAGACATCATGAAACAAGCATATAGTCTTAGGGTATGCAACCTGATTTGATATATGTATTAATTAAGAATTAATCACAGTAATTAAGCTTACTAACCACATCTATCTCCTCACATAAGTTATTCTTCTGTATGTGGTAAATTGGTCAAATTCTGATTAAATTAGCCATGACTTAAAAAATAACCACAGACTTGATTGTAATTATTGATTTGGTTAGCCAAGAGTTGGTTCAGCTACCAGATGGGATCAATCACTAGTCAGATTAATCATCAATTAGATCAACTATTAAGTGAATCAAACTTGGTTATAGAGACCTCTGGTTAGGTCAGCTACTAATCTGATCAGTTGCTGTTGAACAGGCCATTCCTCAGATGGCCTGCTGATTGAAAGGCTATCACAGAAGACTTATTGTCTTAGTAAATTTCATTCAGAAGATATTTATCTTAAATTGTTTGATTATTACTAAAACCAAGTGAATGCATGCTTAGTATTCTTTAACATTAATTATTACTTAGGAAGTGTAAATAGTTTGATAAAAAAAACAAGCATAAACCCCTAATCAAATTCTAGAGAGAATGATAAGTTCATTCTTTGAAATTTTCTCACAACAAATATTAGAGTAGTTGTCATTATGCTTTCTACATAGTTAGCACTTCATACAGTGCTAACAAATAACATCAGAAGGTGTCTGATGTAGTAGCCATCCCTCAGTCTGATGTGCTTATGCTCAAAAGGAGGCAAACTATGAGTTTCCATGGGGTAGGTTTTTATCCACACTAGCAAGCACAGACATCCTCCTTTTAAAAAGCTTCCCCCCCCCCGTGCAATTGAAACTAGGAACACCCTCTAATTGTTTAAATTCCCTTGATAATTCTGTTAAAGTCTTTACATTTCTATATAGACCAAGAAACCTAAAGCAGGTACCACAGAGGTGATGTTTAAACTACACTGTGTAAATTGTGTTTTTTCAAGGTCCCTTTGGTTTTGCAAAAAGCATAAAATTTGAGGGTAATATTTTTTAAAACTCCACAAAATGATCATGTTAACTATTCATGTAAAACGGTTATTTTTTCCATGTCTATTCTTATTTGGGATAGAGGACATAAAAGCAGGACTGACTGTAACAACTGATTCCTTTGAGACATTTAAAACTCAGAGGTGAGGAACTCATTACCTATTGGCATAACACTCTCCATGGCAGACTGATTGTTCTCAAGTAAATATACTATTATTCTCAGTAAACCCATACTAAGTATGTAGCTCAGATAGTCCAGGAAAACTGACTTGAAAAAAATGCAATGGTTTTCAAAACTCTTCTACTGAAGGATATCTGTCTCTGCCTATATTGCAATATATCTTTCCTAAATTTATTCTGGAATGAAACTTTACTCTTATGGCATATTCAGGCTTTCTTAATTGCTGATAATCGTCCACTAAAGGCTTTGCTTTTTAAAATATGAATTATAGCCACAAGGGTTGAGAGAAAAAATATAATATCAAAATTAAGGATCACTTGGAATATAAAGTAGCATGTGTAATGATATGTCCATATCATTCTTGCCTTAAAGATACTCATTGACTTAATAAAAGCATTTTTAAACAATATATTATAATATATAATAAGTGTACCTTGTAGTATAAAATGTGCATACTGATTTAAAACACATTTTTAATACTAGGGAATATCTTATATTTTGAAGGGAACCTGATATATATAGTTATTTTCACCTCATGCTTCTAAGAATAAGTTATGACAATTGTTACCAGATGATTTTGAGCATCCTTCTTCCATCCATGTGTAAGGCTTGTCTTGTAAAACCATGGCTGTCTATAGATCTAAATGTATATGTTTTATTTTATTATTTTAAGTATTTTTGATAGACAAGTCTATTTATTAAATAGTATATCTTATAGTTAGAACATCATCAATGCATTCATTGCTGAATATTTTGCTTAGAAACAATAAGCAAAAGGACTCTTTTTTCTAAAGGAAAAAGCCCTAATTCATATATAGTACACATTATATTCAATGTAGCTTATCATAAAAGCCTTTACAGTAAAAATTACACTCTTAAAGTATTTCATGAATGCCATCATTATATTCTTAAGTTGAGGGTTTATAGTGGGCAAAAATTAAATGCTATTTTTATTTATAATGATATTTGTTATTATTAAAAATGTTTTGTACTTTTACTTTTTATAAAAATATTATGGCAAGATAGAGAAAGAAAAAGAAAACCAACCAAGCCAATCTAACATATGCTAACTACCTTTGTGTTTCAGTCACACTTACATGGTTTATATATGTTTTTCTCCATTTAGTACCATCTCATTGTAAACATACTGCAGCCTTCTGTGTTTTGTTGATATCATCTTAGTAGCTGCCTGGGAACACAGTGAATGGAAACCTGTTTTCTAGATTGATTCAAGTTAAAGACTTATTCATTCAGTTTATTTTTCTTTTGAACATAAGTTCTCAATCACTCCTAAAAACAGAACAACACAAACAAAACCTCACCAATAGCAAAAGCCACTTACTTACACATATGGTCCATCCAGCTGTGCAAATTACTCTATATCATGCATCCATGGAAAGTTGCAGTATTTTAGACTAGTTGGTCCATCTGCCACCTGTTCTATCCTGCTGTCTTATCTTGAAGCCTGGTGATATACGTATCTAGGTACTTCCACCGAGATATTCTGGCAGCTGTATCAGTAGATTAGTGTATGAATTTAGTAACAAGCCAAGTTGATGAGACCTAGTATTGTTCTCCAGGAGAACCTCATATTAAAAATCCATGGGAAATATGCCCATACTTTATAATCTGCAATGTCACTTGTTATATAAACCTAGACTCCCTCTGATAACTCATAGCTCCCCGTGCACGGCCTTACCCCATGTTCATTCATTTTTTGTAGACATTGATTCACTCAGCAGATACTCTCTGTATTCCTCCCTCCCCATAAAATAATGACTAAAACAGATGTGTTCCTTGCTTTCATGATAAATTGGTCTAGTCTGAGAGAGATAAACAATCACTATGACAAGAAACCTATGATGACATGGCATTATCAGTGCATTTGAGCTGAATCCTAAGTAGTTAGTTGATGAAAGGTAGGCATTAGTTGAAGTGGGCTAGGCAAGTAGGCACAAAGAGAATAGAGAATAAGCAGGCAAATGGCAAGTGAAATGCTAGAAGGAACTGGTGGGAATGGAGAACAAGAGGATCACGAAACTGGGGATTGATTTCTGAGAAATTTAGCTTTTAAAACGTCAGGAGAAACAATCAGAAAAGACTGAGGAGACATGAAAGGTACAAGGAAAACCAGATGTATATGATGACACTGAGACCAAGAACAGAGTAATGTGTCTTGGTCCTAATGCCATGAAGTGACAAATATGACCAAACTTGTCAAAAACCCCCTGGAATATCCAAGTTGCT